TGCGCGGCGCCGGGGGGGGGGGCGAGCGAGGCGCTCGGGACGGGCGCGCCGTCGGCGACGCGTTCGCCGATGAAGGCGAGCGATGGGGGAGAGAAGAAGACCATGTGCTCGCTCGACTTGGATAACAAGGACGGGAGCGGGCCGACGCTGTGGAGTCCGGTGACGGACAGCGTCGATAGGACGATTAGTCAGCCCGAGGAACGGGCGCTCACGAGCGTGGACGAGCCTGAAGCCGACTGCTCGGACGAGAGTTCGCCCACGTTCTGGACGGACATCTGTCACAAGTTTGCCCCCGAGGAACAGACGGAGTACGTCAACTTACAGCTCAATCCGGAGCGCTGGACGGGTTACAACGGATCCCACGTGTGGCGCGCGGTGTACGAAGAAAATTGCCTAAAGTCGGCGTCAAGCGTGGATGAAATGTGTTACGAAGAACGAGTGCTGTATCGTCTTCTATCGGGCATGCACTCGAGCATTAACATTCACATCGCGCTTCACTCGAAACCACCGAAAAGAGCTCTCGGAGAGACCGAGTGGGGGAGCGATCCGAAGAAGTTTGTGGACATCTTTGCCAAGCATCCAGAGCGATTGAAAAATTTACACTTTTCATTCGTGGTACTCCTGAGAGCGCTCAGAAAGGCGGCTCCTGCGCTGGCTAAGATGGACGTGCGCATGGGTCAAGACGCGCACGAAGACGCGCGAACGGAAGCGCTCATGAGTCGACTGCTGGAGAGTCACATTCTTTCGTCATGTCGAGACGTCTTTGGCGCGTTCGACGAAAAGTCCATGTTTCGCGACGTGCAGACGACGCTGAGCTCGACAGTGGGAGTTGTTGGCGGTGAAAACAATCAACTCGTCACCCCGATATCGCTGAAGAGCCAATTCAAAGATATTTTCTTGAACATCAGCGAAGTCATGGATTGCATCTCGTGTCAAAAGTGTAAGCTGCACGGGAAGCTACAACTATTGGGTTTGGGCACGGCTCTGAAGGTTTTACTCATGCCCGAGGATATTTTGGACTCACAGCTTAACAGACAAGAGGTCGTTGCGCTCATCAACACCATAGCTAAGTTTAGCCACGCGATTCGGAAGGTGCCCGAACTCATGAACGCCGCTCGGCAAGAAGTTTTGAATAGCAACACTGCGGATTCGAACGCGGGATTCGTTCTAAGCGAAGAACGCACGCGTGTTCGAAGTCCCATGGAAGCGGCCATTGCAGCTGCAGCGGTGCATGTGAAGTCGGGTGTACTGCCGATGAAATCTGAAGAAGCGATTGTGAGCGCGATCCTCGATGAAAATCCGAAGTTGAGCGTTCTCGCGAAGTATTACGCAGAGAGCATGCCGCGCAAATTCATCGAGCACGCCCTTCGAGCGCTCGCTCTGCCTCCGCTTAGAAACGGTATCAGCGATGAGGAACCCGTCGATTTGGTCGTCGTCGGTGGTGGTCTCGCTGGCTTGACTGCGTCGTTGACCGTTTTGGATCGAGGAGGTCGAGTCACGCTCGTCGAGAAGGAGTCATTCGTTGGAGGCAATTCGCAGTGGGCGTCATCTGGAATCAATGGTGTGATCAAAACTTCGACTGAAGAAAATCCAGACAGTGTCGAGGTGTATTCCGACGACTGCGAAAAATCTTCATACGGGAATGGAAACGGTCGCGACATGCTCGACCCTGAAACCGTGGTGCACATTCCGACGTTGACAAGCAAGGCGGGACAAACGATTGAATGGTTGCGTCAACGCGTCGGCGCCGATCTCAGTCTCCTTTCTAGACTCGGTGGTCACAGTTACGCCCGCACGTACCGACCATCGGAGGGCATGGCTGGATCATCTCTGGTGTTTGCTTTGAAAGGAAAGTGCGAGGACTACCTTCAATCAGGACACTTCAAGATTGTCAAGAAGGCGAGAGTGACGAATGTTCTCACGAATGACCAAGGAGACGTCACCGGAGTGCGCTGGGCGCCATCTGATTCTACGCAGGGCGGTGGTGAGGTCAAGGGTCGTCACGTTCTACTGGCCACTGGCGGATACTCAAACGACAAGTTTGGTGACGACGCCTTGCTGAGCAGGTACGCGCCTCAACTCACAAAGTTTGCGACGACAAACACCAGAGGAACAACGGGAGATGGACACAAGTTAGCATTCGGCCTAGGAGCGGGCGCTGTAGACATGCAGCGCGTGCAAGTACATCCAACCGGTTTCATCAATCCGCAAGATGAGCACGCGGATACCAAAACGTTGGCAGCCGAGTTGCTTAGAGGAGCCGGAGGAATTCTTCTCACTCGTTCGGGAGTTCGATTTGCAAACGAACTCGGCACGCGAGATTACGTCAGCGCTCGCATGCAGGAAGAAGATCCGGAGAAGCTTGATTTCGTGCTGCTTCTAAATGAAAATGGCGCAAACGAAGCCAATAAGCACGTTCCCCTGTACGTGAAGAAGAATTTGATGACCAAGTTTGAGACTCTAGGTGGTTTGGCGACGTGGATGTCCGAGCGAGGAGACGCTACCGAGGAGCAGTTACGGACGAGCTTGGAGAGATACAACGCCGATGCGGAAGCGGGACGAGATGCTTTCAACAAAACATTCTTCGCCAACGCGCCATTCGATATTTCCGGCCCGTTTTACGCTGGAAGAGTCACGCCAGTCGTGCATTACACGATGGGCGGCGTCAAAGTCGATTCAAGCGGACGTGTTCTCAGAACAGATGGATCAACCATCCCGGGTCTATTCGCGGCGGGAGAGATCATAGGCGGTGTGCACGGAAAAAATCGCCTCGGTGGAAACGCGCTCACGGAGTGCGCAGTTTTCGGCCGCCTAGTCGGGACGAGCGTCGAAGTGGACTCTCTGAAAGCGTCCACGGGAGGTGCGACGCTGCCGTTATCAACTTCCGAAGCGTATGTGAAGAAGGATATCAAGATCACGAAAGAAGAGCTCGCGAAACACGCGGCCAAAGATGATTGCTGGGTAGCCCTGTACGGGAAAGTGTACGATTTCACCGATTTCCTCGAGGATCATCCCGCGGGTGTCGACGCGATTCTACGATACGGTGGTTCCGATGGAACGAAAATTTTTGAGGCTGTGCACTCACGAAACATGCTGGACGAATTCGAGCCGATCGGCACGTTGATATAGATTTTTTATTGTTACTCACTGCGCCAAAAAACGTTGAAACAACGCGCTATGTTCTACTCACTCGTCGATGAACACCGTTCGATCCGTCGCTTTCTCGAGCGATCTCACGCGATCGGCGAGGGTTTCGATGACACGCTCGACGTCGAGCGCGTGCCTATCCGCGTCTTCTTTCTCGGTGCGTAAGCGCGAGATCAGCGCGCGCGACGACTTGACTTCGCTCGCGAGCGCCGCGAGCTCGTCCTCGAGCGCCTCGCGAGACGCCCGCTCGCGTTCAGCGGTGGACTTCCACCGTCGCGCCGCGCCCAGAGCTTCCGTAAGCGCCGCCTCCGTCTCCGCCTCTAATTCCCGTTCCTCGTCGTCCTCGTCGTCGTTCATCGACTTCTTCGACGCATTCCGCCTCGCCTCTGCGTTCCGCGCCGAGGCGCTCGCGCGAGCCTCTTCCAACGCATCCACGGCGCGTCTGACGAACACCGCCAACGGCACATCCTCCTCGTCCGCGCCGTGATCAAAATATCCACCCAAAACCTCCCCCAACGCGCGCTTCGCCTCGTTCGTCGACGCCTCGAGCGCGCGCGCCCGCCTCTGCGCCTCCTCCAACCGCCTCCGCGTCTCCTCCGCCACCCTCTCCGCTCGCTCTCGCGCCTCCCGCGCGCCCCGTCTCGCCTCCGACACCTCCCGTTCCAACACTTTCACCCGTCCCGCGTCCACCTGCGCCTCCCCCAGCTCTCGATGCGCCGTCTCCAGCGCCGTTCGCAGCGCCGCCGCCTCCGCCAAAGAATTCTCATCCCCCCCCCCCCGTCGCGCGCTCGCCTCCGCGTCCGCCACTCGCGTCGCCAGCGCCTCGAACCGTTCGAGCAGGGCCGCGTTCTCGACGCGACGCGCGCGCTCGCTGCGCGCCGCGCGCGCGCGCGCGTCGTCGAGCGCCTCGAGCGCGCTCGCCCGGTCGTCTCGCGCGCGTTCGAGCGCCCGCGCCGTCGCCGCGGCGTCGATCTCGAGCTCGCACGCGCGCGCGCGGAGGTGGAGGATCACCGCGGCGTCGTCCGCGGTCGTCGTCGTCGTCGTCGTCGTCGTCGTCGCGCGCCGCGGCGCGATGTGCGTCGCGCGTCGCGTGTGTGTCACGTCTGTGTCCGTATATACCCTATACTTCTACACACACCGTCCGCGTGTCCGAATATATATTTTATGACACGTCCACGCGCGCGCGGACGACGCGACGACGGCAGCGCGCGACGCGACGCGCGCGAGCGAGCGCGCGACGCGAGGTCGATCGCGCGTGGCATCGCGCGTCCGAACGCGCGGGGCGCCGAGACGCGCGCGGTGGGATCGATCGGGCATTTTTTACACAGATTTCAAAGTCACGTTTGAACAGCTCGCGCGATGGATGGCGCGTTCGATGACGACGCCGCGCGCGAGAGAGAGAGAGAAACGCGCGCGGGGGCGCCCGCGGTGCGTTTTGACGTCGAGACGCGCGGGATGGGGACGACGCGCGCGTGTGGGAGCGCGGGTGGAAGACGCATGAGCGCGCCGGGGAGCCGGGCGAGCGGACGCAAGCGCCGGCGGAGCGAACTCGGACCGCTCGGGACGATGGGTGATCTGAAGACGACGCCGATGCAGACGCCGGTGACGCGATCGATGGGACTGGATGGGTGCGATGGGTTTAATATCATCGCGAAGCGGACGTCGACGAGCGGAGGCGCGGCGCGCGCGACGGGTGGACGAGGGACGGAGAGCGCGGAGATTTCGGCGAGGCGACGGACGAGGCGACGTTCGGTGTCGATTCGAGAGGTGTGCGTGAAGTTTGACGCGAGGGACGATGATGGTGGAGGAGGTGATGAGACTCCGAGGACCGGGCTCGCGATCGCGGATACGCCAGGGAGCGATTGGGGCGGGATGTCGCCGGGCGAGCTCGGCGGATCGCAATACGTCGTCTCCCCGGCGCGTTCACAGAGCAGGAGCGATCTCGAATACGATGATAACGAAGAAAAAGAGCGCGAACGTCTCCAAGTGCTGAGCGACGCGACGAGGCGCGCCGACGATGCGGAAGCGAAGAAGAAGCGCAAGCTCTATCCCATCTTTTGTCCGGGACGAAAGACGGTGCATCTCGTGCGTCATGGCCAGAGCACGTGGAACGCCGCGAACGCGGGACCGGGCTCGTGGAACGAGCCGCAGATGTTCGATGCCATGTTAACAGAGCTAGGAAAGAAGCAAGCCAAGGCGTTGGGTCCGGAACTTTCGAAAATACCGCGAGACGCGCTCTGGGTGAGTTCGCCGCTCACGCGAGCGCTGGAGACGTGTCTCATCGGTCGTAGGGCGGGGTTGGAACACAAAGCCTCGCGTTTACGGAAAGTTGCCAAGGATGGGGAATCGCCCGATGAAAACGCAGACGACATCAACACGCCGTCGGGGACGTCCGCGAAGGATTTCGATCCAGAGAAGGAGTTCAACGACTGGACCAAGCAAGTCGTGGTGCGTCACGAGTTGACAGAGAAACTCAACTGCACGGGCGACATCGGTCGCCCAACGCACTGCCTGTCGGAGGATTTCCCACAACTTAGTTTAGCACTATCTAGAATCCCCAACGACCGGTGGTGGTGGGACTGCGATCGGAAACCGAACGACGCCCAGGCGCGACAGTTCAACTCGCACGAGCCGGCCAAGCACTTCAAGCAG